TTCGAAATTTGTATTAGTATGCGTAGCTATGAAATGCGGGGGGTGGTGGGTGGGGAGGGTGTAGAGGAAACAGACATCGCCCAGTTCTAAGGATACAAGCTCACTTTAATTCCTTTTTGTTATATTTAGGAAAAAGATTAATTTATGTATAATCACATGGTGTGAATATTTAATTAAAGTCTAAATACAATACACTTTACTTGCAAAATGAAAATGTTCAAATTTAATAAAGAAAAATCTTTATCTTGGACGTGAATTGAATTTAAATTAACTTAACTTCACTAAACTTTCATAATTTGATTATTTATTTATCTGTACTTCCGGTTTATTTCAGTCCTGGACTACTCCTGATGCTTAGTAATCTCCTAATATCACGCGTGTTACGATACTTCGGGTATAGTAATAACTTCTGAGTACTGGTAAAGTTAGACCCCGGGGCTGAATGAATACTACATTATGCATTGCGACATAATAATTACGGTATCATTCACACGAAGGAATACATTTACCCCGTGTCTCCGTCCTATTGCGAACTACGTTAGAATGACTCCAAATAAACGCGTAGATAAACACATAGCTGCAGAACTGTAGCTCTCCGAAAAAAAAAATATTGACAGACCGGAGAGCTACAGTGCCAATAGAAAAAACTGTATATTTATTGCGCACAAAAAATTGCGCTCGATTATGAATTTATTTCTCTGTATATTTAAACTGCCATCTCAAAATATTACTAACCGGCTGTTACGAACATATTATTTTACTATTTCCACAACAAAACATTCCCCCGGAACCGTTGGAAATAGTCCTACTGGACCTGAAATGAAGACCATTTATACTACCATTTTGGGTGGTAAGACAATTCGGTCCACAGCGCTTCGTGCAGATGTAAACTACGACAGTAGTTGATAGAAGTCTAAGAAATTTCTTAAAATCGAGTTTTTGTGCAGTTGAGGTAAGAATTTAGAGAAATAAAACCGGAATCAAGCGCAAATATACAGTTTTTTCTATGGGTGGCACTGTAGCTCTCCGGTCTGTCAATTTTCTTTTCGGAGAGCTACAGTTCCGCAGCTAATAAACACAGTGATTTAGGAGCCATTCTGTTCTGCGACTTAATCATGAAATGGAAAGTCTTTGACACACTAGGATTCATTATAGATTTCAGTTAGATCACTTTTTCCCCTGAACCTCGCTGGAATCATTTGAATAAAAAAAAACCCCACAATTTTGTTCAACTTGGTTTAACCGCTGTGTAGATGTTTGAAATAAACATTCGGTTTTAAGAAGAAATCTTATATATCTTTCTATTTAAATAGAATTCCAGTCACGACGAAGAAAGTTGACTCCAGACATCAGACTCAAAGCCTGACTGTGCAATTCTTTTGATACAAGTTTCGAATGACTTATAATTGAGGACACACATTTTTTTCGACCCTTTATTTCTAGTTATTCAATCGAACCTAAACACCACGTCTGCATGCATATGCATTTTATATTCAGAAAAAAAATACTAAATACAGATTTAGATAGGAATGAAGCATATGATGTTTTGTAATTTTTAATTAAGAACGTTGCCCTGGGGGTATATACCGATATATCAATGTACTGAAATCATACACACTAAACCCGTGTTATCGCCTTGTCAGGACACCTAATTAACTGATATACAACATTTTACTCAGTGCAGTCCTAAGATAAATATTTCTGTCTTAAGATGGAATTTATCCACGATAGAAGACATTGACATGCTGAATTGATTAGAGATGATAGACATGTTTTGAGTATATATGCATGTTACTTTTAAAGTTGAAACAATGAAGGGGAACCCATGTAGGGGGGTCATTAATTTTAATTTTGAGAACGCTTATTAAAAAAAACGGGATCACTTGTTTTATGTAAGGGAATATTGTATGAATGGGATCAGACTGTAATTATGGGACTTATAACTTAAATTACTCACTTCCGTTATGCTGGAATTATTGAATGTATACTGGGGATTGTTGCCTATAAAATATTAAAATTTTTGTAATAATGGGATCATTGACTGCAGTGAAGGGAAAATGATTGTTTTTATTGGAATGTTGGATTGTAATTATGGGATCGATGATTCTAAAGATAATTACAAAAACTAACAGTTCCAAAGTTTTTCTTCTTTTGAAAAGCAAAATCGTGTCTGAGGCTTAATACTTTTTGAACTTATCTGCATTTATATACGTTTTCACTCGAAGTGGAAGAAAAAAATTATACGTCTTAGGGCTGATGAGGGAGGGTGGGGTTTGAACTCAGAGCTGTGTATTTGATATTCATTATACATATAGACATTATGTATGATTTGTTTGGACATAAAGGGAAGCGATAAAATCGGCCTGACATATCTGTTTGTGTCAGAGGTGTGGGTGTCGATGTTAGTGTGCTGCTTACAACGATATAAACGTCAGACCTTACGTTGCCGAGATTAGGTGGTCTTCAGTGACCCGTCAGGGAATAGCTCAACAGCGCAGAAGAATGGAAATTGAAAATACTGTCTTTACCTAAATTGAGAACATTTGAAACTTTTAAACATAATTTCAAACTGGAACCTTACGTATCGATGAACATGAGCAAACAAGAACCCTCTACAATGGCACAGTTAAGATGTGGTATCCTTCCCCTTCGAATAGAAACAGGCCAATATAGAAATAACGTTGTTGTGTTTTATGTAAAGACGGATCAGTAGAAGATGAAAAACATTTCTTATTTCATTTAAAAACATCAGAGAAACTTTTTTTCGTAATGTTAATTTAAATAGAATTGTGCATCCAACTGAAAATTGAAACACTTTAATGAATAATAATCAAAGACAAACTGCCAAATTTCTAAATTTATGGTTTTCAGTAAGACAAAAATATTTGTACAAATTAAATTAATGTCATGTGCCCTGTTGGGGCGGATCAACAAAATTCAATCAAAAACGTAATGGAATATGATAGAGACCACAAGTGTACAAACATTTGACAACTTTATTTAAGTGATAATATTGATATATGTAGAAAAAAAACCCATTATTCTCTAAATGAATTAATTTGATTCTACCTCGCAATGTGTGCATCATAGACAATTTTTTTTCGTATTTCTTTAAACTAGTGGTTCTAAGACTTACATTTTTTTTCAGAATTAACATTGCATGTGTGAAATGCCTTAACATCGTCGGATACCCACGGGAGATCTCGTCTTGTACTCGATTAAAAGACGAGATCACCCGTGGGTATCCGACCCTTCACCTTTGTGTTCAGTGACTTTTATTCCGAAAAATTTAAGTGACAATTTGTTGATTTAATTATAAACCGACAATTTATGGCTGTTTGTCTATTCCTCTTTTTCGCAAGTTTTATTTCAAAATATTTCTTTGTATCTTAATATTAGTTATGTTATAATGGTAGACAGTTATATAGTGTAGGTCAGTGTCCTCTAATCTCCTAATTTTGACTATGCAGGGTTTTTTTGGTATTCAATGCATAACGACCATTTTTTGTACCTAATAAATGAATGGTTCAATATTTTTAATTATGATAGTATTTTGAAGTTGTTATCAAACAAAAATACTCCATCAAAGGAATTACCAAATTTTGATTATTGTACAATTAGTTAACATTGAAGTCTATGGGCAGCGCAAGTGTTATTAAGATATTGTAAAAAAGCAATTTGAAATTCATACAAATCTCTTGGTAAACATATGTATAAACTCTCTGTTTATCATAATATGAAATAAAATAAATCATTCACCATACATGTAGATATTTTGAAACAATTAAAATTTTCTTCTTTTCATCAAGGGCAGATAACTCTTTAAAAAAATTTAAGGTGCAAAATGACCGGCCTCTGACATGTTATTTGTCATGTGAATTTGGTTCATTTCACTTTTATCGTCATCTAGCAAATTGATGGATTTTTAACTAGTTTAAAATGATTCAAAATTGTTCAAAATCCCTTCATTATACATGAATACCTTAACAACAGAATCATCCAAATTGTAAAACATTTTGTGCGCGCTGTAAAGTTCTAATATACAAAGATCGACAACTCTAATAGGAAATATGCTGACAATTGAAGACTTACTTCCCTTGCCTTGTTTGTATTTTAGCCATTCGCTTGATGGATGTCGTTTGTTTATAACAGCGTTTAGGATTTCGTGTGTCATATGTATGTATTTTATGTCATTCGGTATCTAAGTTATTTTGAAAATCGGGAAAGGGAGATAGAAAACTCTCGTATGAACACAGTGGAGAGAATTTATTTAATAAATCAATAGTAACAATGTTTGACCCACAGATTGAGTCAATACAGACTTCATGCCAATCCGGTACATATACCTATGTGTGCAAGTATCATGTTGTAAATTTTGAATTTGCTAGGGGGAGGTAAATGCAAAATTTACAACATATTTTTAAAACTTTTAAATATATCGTTTTCGACTGATACATAAAAAGAGAGAAGGCTTGCAACTTTCTCGTCGTCTGCCTCACCTCGCTTAAACTCCGCCTGATTATTTATCCAAAGCATAAGAACACATGGCAAGTGTGAAAAACCCTCTAATGGACATAAAAATATTAATTTTCATGTTGTTTTCATGTCGTCTTCTTACCCGGTATAATCGATTAAGTGCGATTTTGTTGACAGCTTGGACTTTTCTTTTAGTTGTGGCATGCTTAACTCATTTCACAATATGTCAACTTCTTGTTTGTATTAACGTCTCTATATTGTTGTTATTGTTTTGAGAATAAACTATTGTCATTGTCATTGCCAAACAGTGTAATATGTTGTATGTTTACCCCATGAATGTTTAAAATTGACTTACAAATTTTACGGAGTACAAACACTTCGATCAAGAGGTATTGCTTACATTACATCATTTTATGAATTCACACATTTATGAGTTTGTGAACTTATTTTTATTATGGATTTTTCCTATCTACTTTCTTTCAAATTCATGGATCCTCCTTAAACAGCATGTTGAATTGTTTCAGGACTAAAGATAATGCAGCTGCCTCGAAGTCTCGCCCAACTCTCGTTGGTATTTCTGTCATGTCTTTCTTTGACGAGAGGTCTGAGTGAGGGAGATGCTAATGTCTGCGATAAGACCGTATCGTAAGTTTTCCTTTTATATTTTATTATTTTCAAGAACAGGCTTCTTTTGTATAAAATATTTTACGATGTAATTTTCCCCCTATTTTTTAATACTTAGTTTTGTATATCTTTGCTTTTAAAGTATTTTCCTAATATTCATTTTCACTCCATTTCAAAGCATATATGCTGAGAAATAATATATGAAGTAATATTGCTGTTAATTACATAGATTGGTGGTATGTGCATGCTAATGGTAGACTTGTTTTTTTAGTAATCTAAATAAAAAAACTTACCAGCTTACCCCCTTCCTTTCTCTTTATCTGAAGCTTATCAATTTTTGCTTACGATTTTAGAACTTCACAGGGCTACGTTTATATTCCTGCAGTCAAACAATCCCCTAATTGTTACATATGTTGCTATCTTGAACGCACGACTCGACTTCAGGCAAAGAATAATAATTTTTGATCAAAATAATTTAAATCAGCGATATTTGATTTTTTGAAATTAAGAACAAGTGGATGCATATTTAAATAAATATGTAATTTTTCTAATTTATGATTTCATAAATCAGTTGATAAGAAAGTTAGCGCTAAATTTTGAGTATGCTTATTTATGTACGCTTACTTAAAGCAATATGAGCTGTAACTTTGATGTTGCAAATTTTTGTGGCAAAATTGTAATTAGCTATTTCAATGACAGATAAAAGAACTTTTATAAACTTCTGTTGTTCATATTTGCGATGGAAGAACTATTTAGAAACTTCGATTGAAGCAAAATAATATTATTGTCGTCCTGTATAATATTGATTTCTTTTATAATACTATACATTCCATTGTACAGAAATCTTTCTTCTGGAAAAAAAAAATACATTTTTTAAGTCTAATTTATCGTAAAGGTTTAAATTTCATACAGATCTATCATAACAGCAAAAAAGTTTAAAAATCGCAGCTCTTATTACTTTAAACAATAAGATGTTTCTTTTAAAGCTTGCACAGGAATTAAGTACATTAAATAATGGATTATTGATACATCGCTGCATGTTTCATTAATTGAACAGCACACTGCACAAGAAATCTGTACATGTACCATTGCTATTAATTAAAGAACCCTATCACTCTGTAATAGTTATCTCCCTTTGCTTTACAGATATTCACAGATGTTGCCATGGCTGTAAAGTGTCCTATCACTTTGTAAAAATGATCTCCCTTTGCTTTACAGATATTCACAGATGTTGCTATGGATGTAAAGTGTCCTATCACTTTGTGATAGTTATCTCCCTTTGTTTTACAGATATACACAAGTGTATACGATAGCAGTACAGGTTCCCTATCAGAAATGCACGCAGACCTGGTGTTCTAGCATTTGGAATTTATTCAGATGTACCCAGTGCTAGTAAGGAAAACACCAGCATGACGTCATCGTATCTTAACTCTTGCTCTCAAAATTCATTTTCCCCCGAGTGTTGTATAGTAGGTTTGACGAGTTGCACACGACTTGTCATTAGATTGACTGTCTGAGGATTTCATAGAATCTATATGGTGTTTTCACTAGAGAGAGAGAGAAAAGAATTCTTATAACCATGTTCAGTAAATGATGATTGATACGTAGCCATAGATCCGATTTTCAAGGTAGATATTAACATTGAAAGCAAGAGTTTATATATACTATACAGTCATGCTGAAACTTTCTATTTCATCTTTCTGTCTAATTTAACTGTCTTTCTTCTCTACAATACAGACAAAGTGACGTCATAACTCGGTCCTATAATAAGCCCTTTGAACGCTGTACACGAACCTGGTGCCCGAACGTGCTTGAGTTATTTCGCTGTACAAAATGCTAGTGAGTAATTAGGTCATGTGACCGGAAGAGGTGAATGAAATAAAAAGCACGGAGAGGATGCACATCTAACCCTAATTGTTTTCCCATTTAGGTTTCTGTGGTACCGAGAGTAAAACATGCATGAAATATAGGTGAAGGGATTATAGGGTTTGTTAACAATTCGAAGCGAAATTGAATATAAAATATATGTATTTATGGGACAATATTCCAGGTTTAAAAAGATAAGACAGGTTTCGTACAAGAAGCCGTATGAGAAATGCACGAAAACGTGGTGTCCTAACGTTCTCAAGTTCTTCCGCTGTACCAAGTGTTAGTGAGTACAACCAAGTGACGTCATAGTACCGTAGTTATGAGTACGAACAAGTGACGTCATAGTACCGTAGTTATTATTTTTATATATATATATATAAAGCTATTTTTGGCCGATGGTTTAATTAATCAGCATGTGGTATTTTCATTTAATGTGTATTAAACGTAATTACCAGGTAAACGTTAAATTTTGTTTTGGGTCAAGGGAAATTAGCATGTATAAGTGTGTGTTCGGCTAGTCTGTACAAACAAGGTATCGCTTGGCAAACGTATGTAGCTTTTATATCGAAGGTAAAACTTTTAAGTAGAAATGCTGAATGTAGTGTATGTGTTATTCTACATTAACTATTGTTATGTTCATACAATTATTTCTCGCCTTTAAAAGTGACTTGACGTATGATTTACCCCTTCAATGAGAAACTGCTCTATCTAATTCAGTGGCATGTTGTGGGATTGTCTTAAGTCAACGGTTAGAAAACTTTGTATTACGTTTTTTTTATGTTTGATGATACTGTCCTTTTTTTAATGAAAGGTTCAGTCTTAACTCTGAATTTCAGAAAAAAATATACGTGCTTTCAGCGATTAGATTTAAATGAATAGTGTGACATATTGACCACACCCCTTATCTAAGAAAAATAATAATAATCTGAAAGGACTACATCCGGGAATGACCCCGTTTCATTCCCTGAGGAACCGTAAAGTAACCACGTCTCTATTGGTAATTGGAACAGTAACTCTTCCGTATTCAAGTCTTGGCAAATTGATAAATACAGTAGCCACGCCCCCTTATAATGAATCTTGGTGACTGGACATAAGTATTGGTGTAGTGGATAAATATGCTTATTTTGCTACATAAAGTATATTTTATTTTCATGTAATTTCATGTTACATGTATTTCATGTACATATTTGATATTCTGATCATACATTCCTGTAAACCAAAAAATCCTAACATACTATATACATTACATTTATATATTCTTTATAAAGAATAAAGACTCTAAATGAATGCAAATGTTTGGTGTAGTGAGATAGTATGATTCTTGAATACTTTAAGAAACTGGACATCATGGTCTATTTGCAGCACGCTATATAAGACCGGATATAAACAAGAAACCAGAACCCTATACCGGAAACAGTACCACTGTTGTGAGGGATTCGTCCTGTCTAACGGACAATGCATATGTGTGTATTCATTTCTAAATTCTTACCGGCAAGAACAAGTGCTAAAAATATACTTTTAAGATACCCATCTTGAAAAGATTTAATGAGATTATTTGCTTTATGCTTAAAAGCAATCTCTGTCAAAATAAATGTTTTCTTTTTAGCGCATTGTACTTCCGGTTGTGTAAATGGAAATTGTACAGGACCGGATACGTGTGTGTGTCATGAGGGATGGCGCGGGAAAGACTGCAGCTCAAGTAAGCCACGTGTCACTTTCTAGTTGTCACTTATTGCGCCATCGTATTACTCAGTTTCATTGATCAATACAGATGGCTTACAGTAAGTTTGACCGGCCGATATAACATATCTGTTTTACAGACTGCCCTCCCTTGATGCCTGGGGTATTTACTGTTGCTTAATATAACATATATATTTTTTGGCTATCCTCCACTCATACTTGTTACTAAATATAACGTATATTTTACAGATTCCTTCTCGTCCCTGATAAGTGTTACTAAATATAACGTATATTTTACAGACTCCTTCTCGTCCCTGATACGTGTTACTAAATATAACGTATATTTTACAGATTCCTTCTCGTCCCTGATAAGTGTTACTAAATATAACGTATATTTTACAGATTCCTTCTCGTCCCTGATACGTGTTACTAAATATAACGTATATTTTACAGATTCCTTCTCGTCCCTGATAAGTGTTACTAAATATAACGTATATTTTACAGATTCCTTCTCGTCCCTGATACGTGTTACTAAATATAACGTATATTTTACAGATTCCTTCTCGTCCCTGATAAGTGTTACTAAATATAACGTATATTTTACAGATTCCTTCTCGTCCCTGATACGTGTTACTAAATATAACGTATATTTTACAGACTCCTTCTCGTCCCTGATAAGTGTTACTAAATATAAATTACATATTTTACAGATCTTCCCGATACGTGTTACTAAATATAATATATATTACAGACTGTTCTCCCCCCCCCCCCCGACACCTGGGGACCTAGCTGTCAGAGACAGTGTGATTGTATCCCGATACGTGTTACTAAATATAACATATATTACAGACTGTCCCCCCGACACCTGGGGACCTAATTGTCAGAGCCAGTGTGATTGTATCCCGATACGTGTTACTAAATATAACATATATTACAGACTGTCCCCCCGACACCTGGGGACCTAGCTGTCAGAGACAGTGTGATTGTATCCCGATACGTGTTACTAAATATAACATATATTACAGACTGTCCCCCCGACACCTGGGGACCTAGCTGTCAGAGACAGTGTGATTGTATCCCGATACGTGTTATTAAATATAACATATATTACAGACTGTCCCCCCGACACCTGGGGACCTAGCTGTCAGAGCCAGTGTGATTGTAGTGGACACGGCCAGTGTGACCCAGACTCGGGACATTGCATGTGTGCAGCAGGTATGTTATTTACAGATTCAAGGCTATTTATAGAAACAACAAACAGAAATATTTTTAAAAACATACATTGTATAAACAGTTTCGTATAGTGATATTTTTTGCTTATACGTGTGCTAGATGATTTTATTCTCTTCTTGAGACCTTGCCACTTCTTTATTTCATTAAATCCCCCAACATGAAGTATGTTAGTACTATGAAATTTTAACAATTGAACAAATCAACATGTAAACAGTCAACATAATGAACAACAAAAAGATCCATGACATGGACAGTACTGAGAGTTGTTAAAATAATAATGTTTATGTTGTAGGTAGTTCAGGTATGAAATGATTTAAGAACTGCTTTACAAAACTTTGCTAAACATTCAAAGAATCATAAAAAAGATATTTTGTTTGAATTCATAGAATTTATATATGATCAGCATATATTTCTGTCTTTCATTCTTTAAAAAAACACTTAAATAAATAGTGAAACTCATGACCAAGTTCATTGTTATTGCAAATTACAATGCCTCTAAGATCTATCAATGCTAAAAAATCTGCCAGCATCAATTGGCCAGTTATTACTGACACATCGAAATTTACACAGATATAATCTAACATGTTTAGGTAATTCTCAAGTCCAAGGTCATACTTGTACATTTTTTAATAAAGACATATTGGAGGATCTGCTACATTCCCATGGCAAAGTGGAAGGCAGTAGCTTAGCAGTTTCTTAGCCTTAACAGTTTGAACTTTTTAGCAGTTCTGGAGCAGTTACTTAACCTTCCCTAGACTGCTAATGGATCAACAAATTTCTTTCAATCCTTTTGTAATCTATAAGCAGTTTTCTTAGCCTTACCAGTTCGTAACCAGTTCGCAAGCAGTTCACAGGCAGTTTCTTAGCAGTTCATTGGTAGTTTCTTAGCAGTTCATAGGCAGTTATGTAGGCAGTTTTTGCTAACTGCTAGTGGACTTCCAGTAAACTATTATATACTGCTTATCCATTTCCCTTTTACAACATATTTTAAATATTAATTAGTCAGGAGGACATTTCCTATTATCCAGCCTGAAATAATATGCAATTATAATAGATCTACCTATCAGAAATGCTTGTTACATTTTTATTTATTGTATTTTGTACAATTGTATAACACAGTCAAACAATTAGAGATTGCTAAGATGAATGTTTAAAAAGTATCAAACACTGTTTTATGCATCTGTTATTATAATCAGTGTAACTAATAATTAATACATGTACCTTATTTACATACAAATGTACAACCATGCAATTATACTCACTGACTAGTAAGAAATCTTATATATCCCAGGGCAAATAAATAATGTTCAACAAGATTCAACACTGAAGGAAAAAGTCAAAAGTACAGCAAATATTCACTTCATCCAAACACCACAAGGCCACAAATTAATAAATATATTGTACTTACCAATTGTTAAATGTCTACATCATTATTTCAATAAATCTAAAGCTTTGTGGCCAGCTGGCTCCCTATTCATGATGCTTTATAGCCTTTGTCCAACAATACAACATGGCAGCCAAAATTGAATTTTGGCGGTCTGTTGTTCAGGGTTCCTGTTGTTTACATTTGTTGATCATTGAGCCCAACATTAAAATTTCTCTTGAACCCAATCAAATTGTACAAAGAAACTGCTTACAAACTGCTTCATAGCGATTCTCTGTAACCACTTAAACTTCTTTGCCACGCATGGTCACCGATTTTGATGAAACTTTGCCCATTATTACAACTTGACACCAGAAACATATATCAAATAAAATTTCGTTGCTATGTGTCTTGGTTGCCATGGTAACAGCCAGAAAAGTTGGAAAAATTGAGATTTTCAGCTACTTTGAATATTTATTAAGCCTTAATAAAGAATAAGAATAACAAACAAACCATTCTCCCCAAAACCTGACACCTTGTTGCCACTTATGCTATAAAGAAACTATTTAGAATTTATCTCTAAGTAAGTGGTAACCATGGGTACATTTGGAATACATTCTAGATGCTGAAAAATGCAGAAAAACGCTCAATATTCACTAATGATAGGTGTTAAATGATCAAACTCAATCAACAACCAAAATAAAAAACAATAAAAATATTTGACCTTAAGTAATTAGGTATTGGCAATATTATTCTAAAAATAACTTTTATGGTTGCCATGGTAACACAGTGTTACCATCCAAAATGTGTTGCTAAGATTGGGTTAATGCTACTATCTTCAGGAAAAATCATAAATTTCATGACTGGCACATATACATCCTTAGGACCTTGCAACACCGACAACATAAGAAAAATTGGGATTAATTGTTACTTTGCAGTGTAACCATGGAAACAATGTACCAGTAGTTTAAAGTGATATTTTTTTGCTGCCTTAGGAATTTACTTACCTTTTATTCAAGAAACATATTATTTGACTCACCTTGAATAGTACTTATCTGGTAAAACTAAAGTTGAATATCATATATTGATAACGTTTGTTGAAAAATACAACACTGTTGCTATGGTAACCAAGAAGGGAAAATGTCCGATTTTGTTAATTTTATATCAATATTAAACCCTATGTGCCAGCTTTTTGCATCCAGTTAGAGATTGGGTGGCAGTCAAAATTTAAAGTCAGGTTAGTTGTTCATATTTACCAATCATAAAAGTTTTAGGAATCTACATACAAGGGTACGTATCCAAGGAAACAGAATATTTTTCAGATTTTTATGCATATTTTTCCGGCTTATTTCCATAGCAACGCTCTATTTAAATAATTGAATTTGAATTTTTTGAAATGTGAGAATTAGGGTCACATGAACATCTTTAAAAATTGATCATTTGTTATATAGAAATATGCTTTTTAAAAAGATAGGATTAAATTTAATCACTAAGAGAGTAAATTTAAAATCCTTTCTTGGTATTAAAACCATGGCAACCATTGCCAACCTATAAGAAATATCATATTTCTTCCTTGGTATATGTTACAAGGATCTTTTGTCTATTATTTGCTTGCATTTCAACCTATATTTTTTTTATTCTTAAGTGTATGACTTTATAAAATTAAATGAGCAAAATTATTACTTTTAAATACTTTGTTTCCATAGTAACGTATGTAGTAGTTGATTTACCAAACATGTTTATCATGCATTTAAGACATCAGGCCTTCAACTTTCAGAAACAATCACTGCCACTTGTTTGCTTTGCTGCAAACGTTAACTGTGGGACTCTGAACATGTTGAAAAATGCCATTTTTCAAACTTTAGGACATGTTGCCATGATAACCATGACACGTAGCAACCAATTTCTGCCTGATTTGAGTTTACGGTATCAAAGACTTTTATCATAGAGAGTTTGGAGAAATTCTGAGACTATGCGTGCCACAGCTTCTATATAAAAGTTCAAGTCGTTACAGAGAATGGCTCTTAAAAACTGCTTAGGAAAACTGTCTTCTCCTCAAGCATAGGAGACCAAAATATAACTGCTAGGGAAACTGATTACTGCTTAAAAACTGCTAAGGAAAACTGTTTACTCCAAAGGCACTAGCAGTCACAAAAGAACCGAAAAAGCCCAACTGCCTGAAACTGTTTGAAAACTGCTTAAAATTTGCAAAACTGCCAAAGAACTGCCTAATAACTGCCTATATAGGCAGTTCACTTTTCCATGGGTTTACATTCCATCCTTGGATAAAACCATCTTTTAATGTATTGTTAACTAACAAACCTATCTTGCATGATTTATCAACATGCTTATCATATTTTACCCTTTTCATATAACCTTCTGACCAGCTGCCAGGTACAATGCCACTCATGAAAGAATATCAAAAATATTAGCAAAACCAGGCATTTATTTCGCAGCTGTGTTTTTCTTAAAAATTCATTCAATATAAGGTCACCACAACATGTTTTGTTATTTTTCAATGATTTTATCTCATTTATTACTTCAGTTTCCGTAATGGCTTGGTTCAATTCAGCATTAAAATCAGATTAGGACAACGATTGACATCACCATCACAATCATCATCTAAAGCATTCATATTTTTAAAATGATCAGAGAAAGCATCAACAACAATTTTCCCAACATGTTTACTACATTTTTTTTTTTCCACTTTTGTTCATCAATGACCAAAAAGCTTTCGAATTGTGTAAATTTCTCACTTTATTTATATTTTTTTCCCTGATACTGTCTAAACTGTTTATTTATTTTTTTTATAATCTGTACTACTTTTGTAATGTCAACATTATTAAGATTCACAAACAATACCTTTGTACTTACAGCAATTAAATTTTATTAAATACATTTGCATTGCTACTCTCCACTTTTGTTTTAATAAAACAACATTTTTTTTTCAATATTTTCACTAAACTTACAAGAAGGTTCATTGATATCTGGTTTTGACATAAACGCAGTAATTAATGCAAGTCTTGCTGTTGTAAAAGTTGCCTCTCTTTTTGCCAAGTTTTTCAAGTTACCTCACTTTGATAAGGTAACACAGGAGAAAAATGTCAGACACGGTGTCTGGAGCCGAAATGTCAGCTAATCTGTAAATGTCAGAATAGTTAATTCGAGTTATCTCTCTTTGCTAAGGTTACACGAGGGAACGATGTCAGACACGGTGTCCGGAGCCAAAATGTCAGCTGTTGTGTAAATTTCAGAATAATTAATTTGAGTTATCTCTCTCTGCTAAGGTTACACGGGGGAACGATGCCAGACACGGTGCCCGGAAGGTTCCTATGGTCCTAATTGTCAGCTGATGTGTAAATGTCAAAACGGAGCCACCTGTAGCGCCACCAACGGAGCTTGTTTCTGTCCCCCTGGGTACCACGGGGGTCTGTACGTAAACTCAAGTTACTTCTAACCGATGTCGAGGAAACATTTTATTTTGCATTACTGAACAATGAGTTATTTTTTATCGTAAATTTTATAATTACATGTAGATATGCGTTATAATGTTAATCCGCTGTGGTATGCATCGTACATGTAATATGCATATCTTTTTCTTGTGTTCAACTGTAAAGATTCTGAGTATTTGATCTATTTTTAGCTGTGAATCTCACTGCCCACAAGGTTCCATGGATGCCCATTGTAATTCTACATGTCAATGTCAGAATGGCGCCGGATGTAACACAGATACCGGAAGTTGTTTATGTAAGCCCGGATGGAAGGTTAGTATATTCATGTATATTGTGCAATATGCACTATATACATAAATGTCAAAAATGAAAATCATGAACATACTGTGGATTTCAAGTAAACCAAAAGTCAGAGTGGTAAAATGAAAATGAAGACTAAAGTGGTTTTATCCAATAAAAAAAATCCTTTGCCAAAGATTATGCTTAAACTAGGTCCATAGACAAATAAGCTTCATTATTTATTTCTGTTGTTTAGGGGGACATTTTCATTATTTATTTCTGTTGTTTAGGGAGACGTCTTGTTCATTGTTTTTATTTTAGGGAGACATCTTCATTATTTATTTTTGTTGTTTAGGGAGACATCTTCATTATTTATTTTTGTTGTTTAGGGGGACATCTTCATTATTTATTTTTGTTTTTTAGGGAGACATCTTCATTATCTATTTTTTTTTAGGGAGACATCTTCATTATTTAGTTTTGTTGTTTAGGGAGACATCTTCATTATTTATTTCTGTTGTTTAGAGAGACATCTTCATTATCTATTTTTGTTGTTTAGAGAGACATCTTCATTATTTATTTTTGTTGTTTAGGGGGACATCTTTATTATTATTTCTGTTGTTTAGGGAGACATCTTCATTATCTATTTATTTTAGGGAGACATCTTCATTATTTAGTTTTGTTGTTTAGGGAGACATCTTCATTATTTATTTCTGTTGTTTAGAGAGACATCTTCATTATCTATTTTTGTTGTTTAGAGAGACATCTTCATTATTTATTTTTGTTGTTTAGGGGGACATCTTTATTATTATTTCTGTTGTTTAGGGAGACATCTTCATTATCTATTTTTGTTGTTTAGGGAGACATCTTCATTATTTAGTTTTGTTGTTTAGGGAGACATCTTCATTATTTATTTCTGTTGTTTAGAGAGACATCTTCATTATCTATTTTTGTTGTTTAGAGAGACATCTTCATTATTTATTTTTGTTGTTTAGGGGGACATCTTTATTATTATTTCTGTTGTTTAGGGAGACATCTTCATTATCTATTTATTTTAGGGAGACATCTTCATTATTTAGTTTTGTTGTTTAGAGAGACATCTTCATTATTTATTTCTGTTGTTTAGAGAGACATCTTCATTATCTATTTTTGTTGTTTAGAGAGACATCTTCATTATTTATTTTGTTTAGGGGGACATCTTTATTATTATTTCTGTTGTGTAGGGAGACATCTTCATTATCTATTTTTGTTGTTTAGGGAGACATCTTCATTATTTATTTTTGTTGTTTAGGGGGACATCTTCATTATTTATTTCTGTTGTTTAGGGAAATATCTTCATTATTTATTTTTTTTGTTTAGGGAGACATCTTCATTATTTATTTTTGTTGTTTAGGGAGACATCTTCATTATTTATTTCTGTTGTTTAGGGAGATATCTGTTCGGAGCCTTGTGAGGAGGGATACTACGGTTCTAACTGTGACCAGATCTGTAGTTGCTATAACAATGCCACCTGTGACTCCAAAACCGGAAGTTGTATCTGCGGACCCGGATATATTGGAGAAGAGTAGGTCACATGGGAGATAATTCATTCAGTGCTGGGATAAATATTCCTGAGATTGAAAAAGAAATTAAATTATGTTGAGATCCCCATTATCATCTCTCCTTTTTGAATAAGATTGTCTTTTTTCTGTATCTAGAAAGAAAAATGATAAAGAAGATATTTCGGGAAGATATTTTTCTTTTTGTAGAATATTGTACGTAAATTATTTTTTCTATTTAATTTAATACATAGTTGTACAGAAGAGTGCCCCATTGGTTCGTATGGTATGTTCTGCTCAAAACAATGTCGGTGTCAAAATGGCGGGACTTGTGATCACGTGACCGGACATTGTCGCTGCGTTCCTGGATTTGTCGGCCCCACTTGTGAAATCCGAGGTGAGTGCGCATGCCACGACATAAGGATGCCTCTTTGCTATTTCCCTTCAGAATGGAAACATTGAATCCGTACATAATTATGTACCTGATACAACTATCCCGCGTGCATAGAAATTTGTGTTTTCTTTGTTGTTTTATGGAATGATTTTGATATGATTAGGACATTTTTTTCACCTCTTTTGTGCTCTTCATCAGTGAGCGAAGTGAACAGTTATCTCTCTTTTTTTAGACAACTTTGTCTCTGTGACATTGAACGGGGAAAATGTCTTAAAGTGTGAAATTGTAAGATTAATACAGGGCAACAATGATTATATCTATATTAGTTTATGATTTGTTGCTTAATACAAATCTTGTACACTTTGACCTTGCCACGTTGATACATGTACATGTATTTCGTGTTGAACAAGAATTGAGTCGATTTGGTGTTTTCTTCCTTCTTGCTAACATGCCCAGATAATGTAACGCTATCTATTATTATACCTTACATCCATTAGCTATATTCTCTTGGTTATTGTGGAATATAAATCAAATGTTCTGTAAGACCTTCTTTCATATTCTGTATTTAATTTATTTGATAACCATAAAGATACGGGCGTTGATAAAGTTAAATGATGCATATCTTTTTTTTATTGTTAATGAATTCACAATTAAACCCTCTTCCTTCTCTTGCCGCCTTTATTTCTCCTTGTGCGTTTTTGTAATTGTTTGTTTTTGTTTTTTGTAAAATTAGCGCATTACTAGAATTTTTATTTTATACATGACTTACAAGTTACAAGTGTGTCTATGTTGTAGCTTGTGATGATTGGAAGTTTGGAAGCGACTGTAGCAAACCTTGTAACTGTAACACAACACAGTCTGACAGGTTAGTAAAGGGGGCACCTGTTTTCATCACCAGAAAGTACTGATTCATTGATACTGGGGGGGGGGGGAGGGGGGGGGGGAGAAAAGGGTCTGAAGACCAAGACAGAGTACTGTTATAACAAAATTACGTAAACAAGCAAAAAGTGTGATGAAAGACTGAATAATGGATGTTTTATACTTATTACAAAACCATATTCTAGCAGGTCGTAGGCTTTTACCGCAAGGGACCTTCTTTGTAAATTTCTTATGAAACACGGAGATCAGTCTAAATCAACAAACAAATTGTTCTGTAGCTGTCATCCGGGTACTGGAGAATGTATCTGCAGCCCAGGATATAACGGAATTGATTGCAGTGAAACATGTCCGGCGCCATTCTACGGAGACAAATGTGAAAAGCAGTGTGATTGTCAAAATGGCGCCCTCTGTCATCACGTGACCGGGGAATGTCAGTGCGCTACAGGATATATAGGAGAAAAGTAGGTCAAATACTGTCTAACTTCACAAATTATGGCTATAATAAAAATTTCAAGGGTCAGGAAATATAATTATCAGACGTGTTGAAATAAAATGTCAACAAAATTGATTTCATGCGTTTTTGATTTGCAGAAATAAAATTAAAAGGTAAAGAGGGTTTTAATGCAAAATGTACCCTTCTTGCTTTAAACAAATGCTACATGTTCTTAAAACAATAAAATGCAATAAAAGCAGACAGATGAAAACTTTTAAGAATCCCCAAGAAATGCAATAAAAGCACACATAAAATTGGTTTAGAAAAATTTGAGAATACATATGTAATCAACAAGCATGTAAATAGTGGAATTGTTTGATACAGATGCAATAAGACATGCCCAAGTGGTTGGTTTGGCAAAGACTGTACACAACCTTGTCCATGTAAAAATGGAGGAAAATGTCACTTCCAGAGCGGCAGGTGCAACTGTTCCCCAGGTGAGTAGTACGTACGATTGGGGGAGACTGTCATTTTCAGAGGGATGGGTGTAATTGTTCACCAGGTGAGTTATCCCTATCAAAAATCTGTTTTTCTTTTTTTAGGCTTCACAGGGCCACTGTGTAATGAGCTTTGTGATTCTGGTTTCCATGGTTACAATTGTACTGAGCGGTGTGATTGCCGGAATGACGCCTACTGTAACCCTAGAAACGGTCGATGTTTATGTCGTCCTGGGTATGTCGGCGACACCTGTGACACGGAATGTCAGGTAAAAGTCACACCTGTTCTTTCCCATTAAGTGGTAAAAACGACAAGCTGCATGTATTGTGAAAGTTGCAAGCTGCATGTATTGTGAAAGTTTTTTTCCCCAGTTTAATTTGAAAAAGGCCATTAGATTTGCTTCAGTTCTCTTTTAAAAATATAATTAGTATTCTAAAATATTTTATTAAGTCCCAGCAAGTTTAAAAGAAATAAGTAATTATCATATACTTAGTAGTAAATAATACCGATTCTGCACTGTGCGATACGGGTGACGTCACAATACCCTATATCAAGGACCGGTCCGAAAATCCATATCACGTATCGGACCGGCGGGCAAAAATCCATATCAAACCGGAAGTAACGTTTGTTTAAAGTTTAAAAGTTAATTACCTTGATTTTTTTTAAATATACACGTAAAATAATTCTTTACTAACATCTGTGAACTTTATTTGTTTTCAAAGACCTAAAATGTGCTTGATTAGATTTTAAAGAAAAAGGTCATAAACATGCACGAAACATTCTTCAATGATTTTATGTGAACTCGCATATTAAGTATTTTAAATATATGATAAATAGAATACTACATACTGAAATCCATATCATATGTCATATCAGCCCTGGGGCCCCATATCAGCCCTCGACCTTCGGCCCTCGGGCTGATGTGGGGCCACTCAGGCTGATATGACGTATGATATGGATTTTAGTATGTAATATTCTCTATTTATACATCAAGTAAAATTTGAAGTGAATTGATTGCAACTTTCCATTCCCCCAAAATAATTGAAGGCTCAAACTAAAGAAGTGGATGTAGTGCAATAGAGACATATAAATGTGCTACTGATTGTAGAAGTGGATGTAATACAATACTGAGCTATGTGTGTTATTGTAGATGTGGACCTTTGGTAAGGGCTGTGGACAGAGATGTGATTGTGACCCTAATAATAGTAACGGATGTGGGACGGAGAACGGTGAATGTTTCTGTCAGCCAGGCTGGTACGGTACGTGATACAAAGTAATGAAACGTACTAGTACGGTACGTGATACAAAGTAATAAAACTGTACTGGTACGGTACGTGATACAAAGTAATAAAACTGTACTGGTACGGTACGTGATACAAAGTAATAGAACTGTACTGGTACGGTACGTGATACAAAGTAATAAAACTGTACTGGTACGGTACGTGATACAAAGTAATAGAACGTACTGGTACGGTACGTGATACAAAGTAATAAAACTGTACTGGTACGGTACGTGATACAAAGTAATAAAACTGTACTGGTACGGTACGTGATACAAAGTAATAAAACTGTACTGGTACGGTACGTGATACAAAGTAATAGAACTGTACTGGTACGGTACGTGATACAAAGTAATAAAACTGTACTGGTACGGTACGTGATACAAAGTAATAGAACGTACTGGTACGGTACGTGATACAAAGTAATAAAACTGTACTGGTACGGTACGTGATACAAAGTAATAAAACTGTACTGGTACGGTACGTGATACAAAGTAATAGAACATACTGGTACGGTACGTGATACAAAGTAATAAAACTGTACTGGTACGGTACAGTCTGGTAGTGATAAAAAGTAATAAAAAGTGATGGATCTTTAGATGATACAAAGTAATAAAAGGTGTTGAAAAGTAATAAATAATGTTTGATGAATTATCAGTAAACTGAAACTTCTTTTGCAATCCATAATAATGAAACATTTTCTGGATTAATCGAATATTTAACCTAAGAGTTACATTGACTTTTTGGGGGGTGGGTAGGAATGACGGGAGTTGGTTCCAAAAAAAAAATCTTTAATAGCTCTCTGTAAAATACATTTTTTGTCGTTCAAAACGTCACTATGTTAGTTTATTTGAATCAGTTTTTTCTTTTATATATTAGGTGTGAATTGTAAGAGTAAATGTGAAAACGGAAAATGGGGAGAGAACTGTGATAAAACATGCACGTGCTACAACAAAGGGTCATGTGACCAAGAAAACGGAAGTTGTATATGCCGTCCGGGTTTCCAAGGACCCAAATGTTCGAAAGGTACACAATATTTTACCATCTACGAGAAAGAATATTATTAATAACTAATTTGAAAAAAACCCATTAAAGTGTCGAAGTTTTCATATTCAAAATTTTGATTTACATTGATGTTTCTTTTCTTTCCAGCGTGTAACGATGGTTTCTATGGAAACAGTTGTCGTTTTCAGTGTCAATGCAGGCCAAACCAGACTTGTGATCACGTGACAGGTCAATGTATTTCTACGACCTGCCCTGCCGGATATACTGGTCAGATCTGTCAATATGGTAGGTCTTACTAATTAAACGGAAAAGACATTTTATTTTATGCAAAGAAAGAAATTTTAGAAGCTAGTACATTATATATTTATTCAATTGTCTTCCAAAGGAAAACATTGAAATGACAAAAATAAAGTTGGAGGCGCTCACATTCGCCTCGGGCCGAGTAAGCACGTGTTATCATCAGCTGATGTAATGTAAGGATCGAAAAAGTAGAAAATGTTCATGTACTTTCAATAATTCACATTATAATGTAGTGTTTTCCTTGATCAAACGGCTGAACATGCCTAATCCTATGTTAGTTATGTCATATCATTCTTTCTAACATCATTCTATTGATTGGTAAGGAGTTCAAGGACAACATTGTCTTATGTTAACGTTTGGCAAATTGTGCACATATGTCTACATAAAAAAGAGATAAATCTTGCTTGAAATCAATGCTCTAGACTGATTTCTGGAAAATTGCTGTGCTTGAAATAGAACAGTCTTTGATTATAACCTTAACGTAAAATAAGCTTGTTATGAAATATGAATTCTACTTTGTTCTTAAACATCACTAATGCCAGAAGAAAAAAAACCCCACTTTTTCCTCTTTTACTTTCTATAGTACATTTTCTCGGTTTACTTTTATTTACCGTTCTCTCTAATTACCCTGTTTTTATGTTGCAGTGTGTCCTTCCGGTAGATACGGTATCCGGTGTAACGAGACCTGCCCTGATTGTCAGAACCATGGCGTCTGTCATTCGACAGATGGTTCCTGTATTTGTCAAATGGGATTCTATGGAGCAACCTGTAGCAAACGTAAGCTCAAAGAAATCTGACATACGAGATAAGGGCAAACAAATTTTTTATAATGTATTGTAATATGTAGATAAAGGAAATGGTACACAGCAAGAAAATGAGCGTTCTATTACCGTTATATTTATATGATATAGGTTGACTATCAATATATACACTATGTAGTAAAGCCTGTAATATAAACACCATTCACTTCAAATTTTTATATATACACTTCCATTTTACAACCTCAAAATATACTGTAAAATCACTTATTTTCGTGGGGTTTAATTTTCATTGTTTTTTGTGGTATGAATTGACCCATGAATTCATTTCCTCAACGAAATGTAAAATTTCAAATAAATAACTATTCAGGAATTTTTAACCCACGAAATCAAAACCCCGTGGACCAATATTTTCCCCCCGAACCTGGAAAACTTAATGCCATAAAAATGTGATTTTACAGTACACGTTCAGTATATAATCATTTAATATTTACACAATGCATATACAATCTTGATATTAACATATACACGACAATCTGAGGTACGTATTTGTACACTTTCCTTATACAAACTGTAATGTAAACACTTTCTGTATATAAGAAGAAATATACACTTTCCATTTACAAAATTTCTTAATTCTACACTATCGTTTATGAACAACTTGTGTAATACAACATTTGCATTGAGGTTATACTAAATGAACGCTTCTCATATACAATCTTTAATAAATGCTATCAATTCATCGTTTTTAATTGCTAAATATAAATATGTTCACAAACATATATTTTATACGTATAATGATTTTAATAGTTAATTATTCTACGTACATGATGTTATTAAGGTTTGGTTGTTTTACTACTATGCTATGCAGTGTGTGGATGATCAGAACGTATCAATATATCAACACACTTTGTCTAAAGAAAAGTTTCCGGTAGTAACTTTTCTTTAGACAAGGATTCTCTTTCGATAGTTTTCTTTTAATTTCACTTTCAGCCTGCCCAGATGGTTTCTATGGAACTGCATGTAAATCTAAATGTTCTTGTGAGAATGGCGCAAACTGCAGTAAAGTTGACGGAAATTGTGACTGTACTTCCGGTTTCATTGGTGTCAGCTGTTCTCAAAGTAAATAAACCTTTCAGTTTCTGTGTACGAGTTTTCTGTTAATTTCTCATGCCTTCATTTTATTATTTTCTCATGTGGCAATGTTTTGTTTATAAATAAATTATAATCCTAATTATAAATCCTTTCATCTTCTTGAAAATCCTCAATCTTTTTTAAAATTCAGGTTACCCTGAGTTTCTACAGAGTCCTTACTCATTTTCTTATTCAGGTTGTCCTGAGGGATATTTTGGAAAACACTGCAGTAACTTATGTGTCTGTAAGGGACTAGAATTTTGTCATCCGGCCTATGGATGTATAAGTAAGTACTCCATTGGTTTTATCAGTAAGTTTTCTGCAAATGGCTATATCAGCTATTTCAGTATTTATTCCATCTTTGGCTATATCAATAATTATCCCACCTAGAATTGAATAAGTAATGCATTATATGAAGATTTCAATAAGAACATTTCTACCTCTTTCATCATTACCAATAACTTTCTGCCTATGGCTTATCAGTAATTATTTCTTCTACATTTTTCTCAATAAATAAAACGCATACTGATATATCTGTTGTCCACAAGACAACTATAAATAAATATTCCTTCTACTATTATATCAGTGAGAATTCTGTCATTTGTTAATCAGTAATTATCCTGTGACTCACAACTCCATGACGGTAGTCAGCTTGACTTTCAGTTGATTTTTTTTATTGAAATAATTTAATTCATCTATATTGTGATATTTGTGCTCTTACTATCTTCCTTCTTTCTCTCTATTCACTTTTAAGTTTCAACATGAGCTCCGATTGTTTGTTTCCATGGTGGGTATCAACTCTTAAACGTCTTGTAATTATTCTAAATGGTTAAAATTATTTCAGTGAACTGCCAAGGTTTAGGTGATATTGCAAAGCGCAAGGATGTTTTTAATTACTTAAGAGCCTTAAAATATAATATTTATTGTTTACAAGATGCACACTTTTCATGTGATGTTGAAAACGAAGTAAGAAATTTGTGGGGATACCAGTGTTTTTTCAGCTCATACTCCACAAACTCTAGGGGAGTGGCAATTCTAGTTAACAATAACTTTGATTTTAAACCTCTTTCAGAAAAGGGTGATGTTGATGGGAATTATATTTTACTTAAAGCTTATGTAGAGGGCCATGAAGTATTGATATGTAATATTTATGGTCCAAATAATGACACACCACTTTTCTTTGAAAACTTACAAAAATATATTGATGATATGCAGTGTAGTAATATTATTTTGTGTGGCGATTTCAACGTAGTTTTAAATCCTGACTTGGACTATTATAACTACAAATCTATAAATAATCCAAAGGCAAGAGAAAAAGTTTTGGAAATAATAGAAAATAATGGTTATGTTGACCCTTTCAGACAGCTGCATGAAAATGAGCGTAGATATTCATGGAGAAGGAAAACTCCATTGAAGCAAAGCCGTCTAGATTTCTTTTTAATATCTGAAACCCTCTTGTCATGAATAGAAAAGTGCACTATAGACGCTAGTTATAGATCAGACCACTCCATAATATCCTTATCAAAAGCTTTTAATGAATTTAAGAAAGGTAGGGGGTTATGGAAGTTTAATAATTCTTTACTTCATGACGAAAATTATCTAGATTGTATTAAAAATGTTATTTTAGAGGTTAAGAAACAATACGCAATCCCAGTGTATAACTTTGACAACATAGATAATATTCCAGACACAAATATTTCTTTCACTGTTAATGATCAGCTATTTTTAGAAACTCTGCTTTTAGAAATAAGAGGTAAGACTATTTCGTATGCATCATATATCAAAAAGGAAAGAGAAAACAAGGAGAGAGATTTAATAGAAAGTATTAAATTGTTGGAAGAAAATGTGAAAATAATATTGATGAATTATATAGTAAAAAACAAGAATTAGAGAACATTAGAAAACATAAATTGCAAGGTACTTATATCAGAAGTAGAGCAAAATGGGTTGAGGAAGGTGAAAAACCATCACACTATTTTTGCACATTAGAATCTAGAAATTTTACTCGTAAAATTATACCTAGATTGGAGGATAATTATGGTAATGTTATTTATGACCAATCAGAAGTCTTAAAGGAAACAAAATTATTTTATGAACAACTATATAAAAAAGTGCAGTCAACCCAAATACTGATTTATTTAATGAGTTAAATAATGAAGAAATACCAAAGCTTTCAAATAAAGAAGCAGAATCTATTGAAGGTGAAATTACTATGGAAGAAGCCTCGGATACACTTTACAGAATGAAATTTAATAAATCCCCAGGGTCCGATGGTTTTTCTGCTGAGCTTTTTAAGATGTTTTGGAGATATATTGGTTCTTTTGTAGTTAGATCTATTAATTACAGTTATAAGAGTGAGAGTCGCTCTATCACACAAAGACATGGGATTATTACACTTTTACCAAAAGGTGATAAGCCAAGACAATACTTAAAGAATTGGAGACCAATCACTTTGTTAAATACCATCTACAAAATTGCATCTGGCACTATTGCAAATAGACTAAAAAGATAACTTGACCAAATTATCAACCAAGATCAATCAGGTTTTATCTCTAATAGATATATAGGTGAAAATACAAGGTTAATATATGATATAATGCATTATACGGAAGAAGAAAATATACCTGGGTTGTTATTACTTATTGATTTTAAAAAAGCCTTTGATACTTTGTCATGGAATTTTATTCAAGGAGCACTTAAATTTTTCGACTTTGGCCCCTCAATTAGGAATTGGGTATCGCTTTTTAATACAGACATTACATCTGCAATAAACCAAGGTGTTAATCTCTCTGATAGAATTAACATCCAGCGGGGTTGCAGACAGGGAGACTCATTGTCCCCTTATATATTCATTATATGTGCAGAAATATTAGCAATCCAAATTAGATTAAACAAAAATATTAAAGGTATAACTGTGAACAATGTTGAAAAAAAGATTTCTCAATTAGCTGATGACACTTCTCTTATTCTTGATGGCAGTAAAGAATCCCTTACAGAAACATTGGAAACACTAAAGAGTTTTTCAGAAATATCTGGATTACACATTAATTATGCCAAAACTTGTATAGTGTGGATAGGCTTCAAAAAGTTTAGCAATGAAATCTTACTGCCAAATTACAATCTTAACTGGGGAACTACCAGATTTACTCTTCTAGGAATACATTTTGATGTGGAACTGGATAAGTTACAACAATTAAATTATGATCCTAAGCTAGTACAGATTAAATCAACACTTAAACAATGGGGAAAAAGGTATCTAACTCCAGTAGGGAAAATTACAGTCATTAAGACATTAGTTTTACCTTTACTTAATCACATTTTAATGTCAATCCCAAACCCCTCTGAATCATACTGTAAAGAATTACAAAAAACGTTCTTCTCATTTTTATGGAATAATTCAATTCACAGGGTTAAAAAAGAAGTTATTGTTAAAAACTATGAAGATGGGGGATTGAAAATGTTAAACCTTAAGTCTTTTATATCTTCTTTGAAATTATTTTGGATAAGACATCTCATTTTTACAAATAGGGGCATGGAACACCTCATCCCAAATTTCAACTTAGAGAAATTTATAAACTGTGGGACTGATTATGTCACAACTTTTCTGAAAACTTTGAAAAATAAATTTTGGATAGATGTTTTCAAATCCTGGTTAATATTACAAAATCATGAGAAAACATCTGAGGTTACTGGTGACTCGCCTTTATTTTATAATCCAATGATTCATATTGGGAGAAAGCCTTTTTATAATAAAGAAATGTTTAACAGCAACATTAGACGAATTAATGATATCATTAATGAAGATGGCTCACTCTTACGTTTTGAATATTTTTGTAATACCCATCCAAAAATAAAGATTAATTTTTTAGAATATAGTAGTATTATTCATGCTACTAAATTTTGGATAAAAAATTCTGGTCTTTACAAACCTATCAAAAAGCTAGAAAATCCATTAGTTATGTCAAATATTTACAAGGTAATGAAATGTCGTAAATCCAAATGTTTTTATGAAATTCTTAATCAAAACTCTTCTGTGTCAACAGGTAAAACAAAGTGGAGTGAGATTTTACAGGTCGATGATAAAGAATGGAAAAAAATTCACAAAATACCCTTCAAAGTGACAAAAGACTGCAAACTCCAATGGTTTCAGTATAGAATTATAAACAGAATTTTAGCAACAAATTCATTTTTGTTAAAAATTTAAAAAAAAATGACTCTAATTACTGCAATTTTTGTCACTTGGAAGAAGAAACAATAGAACACCTTTTATGGGAATGTAATTATACACAATTACTTCTAGAAGAATTTGTAATGTTTCTTGAAGATAAGACTGGTCTAGTGATAAATATTACGAAGAAATCCATTATTTTAGGTTATATAGATAATTATCCTGATATTCAAAATACTATTATCCTTTGGCTTAAGTATTATATCTATACAGCAAGATGTACTGAGAAACCTTTGAATTTATTGCTGCAATATCACAAATGAATCTTTATTATGAAACACACAAATTTATGTCTTATAAAAATGGTGGAAAGGAAAAGTTTGATGCCCAGTGGAACAGATGGAAACAGCTTCTCTCTTAACTCTCTCTCTCTCTTTTCTCTGTCTCCTTTATCTCTCTATTTTTTCTTAAAAAAAAACACATCATATTGTATTAACTTCAATGTACAATAATGTAAAAGATATGTGAATAAAAAAAAAATAAATAAATAAAAAAAAAAAAAATAAAAAATCAGTAATTACCCAGTTTAAGGCTATTTAGTAAGTATTCCGCGTACGGATCAGAAATTATTCTGCCCATACCTAAATGTATATTAGACAATGTCAGACAATATCAATAATTATCTGATTGTATCAGTAAGAATCCAAGCTATGGCTGTGTTCAATAACACATTTTAATCAGCCGTAGCGTCGTTAATGATTTATAGCTTACAACAGGGAGTTTCAAAACAAAAAAAAACCCCATTGTGATTAGGAAACTTTTACACTAGGTCAATTTACGGAATCTATTTTGCGATATAAATATTAAAAATAGCAGTTTATTAAAAGACAATAATGGACCATTGCAAAGTGCATCTATAGTACTGTATAAGTAGTATAAGTACTGTCTATAAAGTAAACAGCAACCATCTACCCTTACAAGAAATACTATAGTAAACTATAGTTAACTATAGTGATAACTTTGACCTTTGGTTTACTATAGTAATAATTTTGAAAACTTTGATTTACTATAGTGTTCACTGTGACTCGATAGTGATAACTATGAAGACATCCTTAATCCCTCCCTTCCCACATTCACCAATTCCTGCCAAGTTTTCCTTTCGGAATATTTTTCCTTCCATATTTGATTCTTTTAAGAAATGAGAGTAAAAGGAAGATTAAGCGCCTGTAAAACAATATAATCACAATCACAATTTAAGCTTTCTTGTCTATTAGCTGTTTCCTGCCCCCGTATATAATGCAAGTTTAAATGTTAAAGTTTAAAGGTCAAAGTAAGCTGTCGACTGTAAAATACATTTCTTCTCGCAAAAGTCCAATATGAGTATTACAAGCTCACATTAATCACCAAGATGAATACATATAATTATTAAATTCTTATTTGAGTAAAACGTCATTCTCAACCGTTTCCTATTCTTTCTAGGTCAACCAAATATTGCCAAAATAACGAACAGTGAGGAAAAAGGTTCCGCCAGCGGACTGATTGCCGGAATCACGGTGACCGTGATCATTCTGACACTTATAATTGTTATTATGGTTATCTACTACAAGAGACGCATGGGTCGTCTTAAGTCCCAGAATCGAGCTGTAATGCAATACATTCAGTCAACAGAGGGCGCTGATGCAGGTAAGAATATAAACATTTAAACTAGACGGACATTAGTAAGATTTCTGGCAATCACTGGTTTATATATTTAGTGAGGAGTATAGAGCAACAATATAGTCAGGATCAAGTGCTCGTGGAGATATACCATTGTACCATTGTATGGTCTGAGAGAAATAAACAAACAGAAGTATATTATAGTAATTATTGATGATTGGATTTGGTAAAATCTTTCCATATTGTAAAGGGCGATTTCCTTATTTTCTTTATCAGCCGGTAACTTACCTGTTTCTGGAATCAACAACCCTGTGTATGTATCTGACAATCAAAACGTATCCAACATAGAGCGGGAAATCCAACGTCAGCAGCGTCAGAGCAGTAACCAAGGAAACGCTTCCTGTAGTCCAAAAGAGGCTGCATGTGGTGAAACTAATGACCTCACAATGGCTAAAAACGTAGATTTTTCTTCACATAATGGATGCGGTCCTACTAATGACTTTGACGACGATGATGAAGTAGATAGGTACACCACACTGCAGGACTTTCAAGCCAAGTTAGATGATATAAATAGAACTGGTAGGTATTTTTGACATCCCCATGCTCTATAATAAAAATTTTGCACAATTTTTCTACCTCTAACGAAGTCTAGGTCTTAAATATATGGCCTATTAATTGAAACTTCAGCTTTGACGATTTTAGTCAAAATGAAATTGCATCCGCAACTGTAGTCGATCGAACAGTTTGTTCTGGAAACAACTTGACTAATATCTCATCAGATAGTCAAGTCGAACAAACAGACTCTTCCAGGAACGAATTACTATGTCTCATCAGAAAGAAAAATCGGACAGACAGACTCTAATAGACACGACTTAACTAATAACTTAAAAGGGAAGACGAACAAATAATCTCTCCTGGAAACGACTTAACTATTGCCTCATAAGGAGGTGAGGTTAAACAAACAAACCCTTCTAGAAAGGACTTTGCTTTTTTTTTTAACAGAAAGTAAAGTTGTCCCTCAGAAATGTTGTTATCTTGTCACTAAAGATACTACAAATATGGTCCTTGACAATAATGTTTTCCTTTTTATGAAATTAACATTTGTATGACACTTGCAGAAAATTTAGCATGTGCAAAAATGGACACCAAACATGGAAATATGTACAACAACATAAAAGTTAACATGGAGGGTGCAACGGCAAAACGTAATATTCCGGATTACGATAATATCTCCGTAGGTTTGTGTCTTTCCAGTATGTTTCTAATATGCATAGTTTACATTGTAAACATCCTTACAGAATGTTTGTCTTCCTCTAATTAAGATTCTGATTTAAAAGGAATATATATAACTTTATGTTAATAGGCTTAAAAATGTAAATTCAGTGAGACATAACAGAGGATGATTTCAATACCACTAATATAAGAGTTCAAGTTCGATCAAGTCATCTATTGCAATACTAAGTTGGCAAAGATGAGTGATTTTTTTTATGTCTTATAGATTCCACGAGTTCCGATGATTCAATAGAATTTCAAAAAAGACAAAATAGAGATTTATATCAAGATTGATAATAAAATGAGGTAGTGTTATATTCTAAGCATGATGGGTAACCGGTGAGAATGGGTAGCCGGTATAAAAGCATGATGGGTAGCCGGTATAAAAGCATGATGGGTAACCGGTGAAAATGGGTAACCGGTATAAAAGCATGATGGGTAACCGGTATAAAAACATGATGGGTAACTCGTATAAAAGCTTGATGGTAATAGAGGAAAAGGCATGCCAGGTAAACGTGGAAAAAAGACATGATGATCTAACGGTTTATAAAAGCATCTTGAGTTGGTAACCACTGAAATAAATATTAAGGATAACCAGAGAAGAAGCATTATATGTAACAATGAAAAATGCATGTTGGCTAACTGGTTAAAAAAGAGATGATTGGTAAAGGGGAAAAAAGCATGAATGGTAAACAAGGAAAAAAAAACATTATTGGAAACGGTTGAAATATTGAGCTGGGTGATTAAAATACACTTAATTATGCATTTCTCATATAACAATTTTTTTGTCGGTCAGGGAACCATTTTGTTTTGTACGTTGTTTTCTTGTTGTTCATTTTTTTTTTTTTAGAATTTACAAAAGGTAGAGAAAAAAGACATACATATATTATGAACATACTTAGACAAGTATACTTTTTAACTTGGAATGTGAATTCTGTTCAGTACGTATTTGGAGAATGCTGTAGTACATGAATATCGAAAGGCAATTTGTTTATATAAATGTATGCTGCTGATTTAATCGTTGTTTTTTAAGCATGATTTTCTATAGAGTTGAACAGTCTATATCTTTGAATGCATATGTAACACAGACGTTGAACTGCTTTGATTTCAAATATTGCTGTGAAATATGAGAAGAAATATGTATAACATGTTTAGATAAGAACAGTAACTAATTTATATCAAATAGAACAAGTTTTAGGTTTTTAGTGTAGATTTGTTTTCAGTGCATTTCTGTAAAAAGACACTCGGTAATCCTTTGAAGTATTCGAAAAAAAAAATCGCTTTTTACATATCACAATGTTGAATACTTGCTATTGGATGCTCTATTACGGCTTTGTAAAAAGTCCTTAATTTGCCTTAGATAAGTAAAATGTTCACGTAGAAATTGGAACTCTTCAGAATGAGAAAAAAATGTATTTATCAATAACCTAGAGAATTTTGTGATTGAAGATAATAAGCATATTTTTAAACGAACAAGTTTTATATCTTTAGCTTTGCATAGATTCTAATTATAGAAGGTCAATTTGTCAAGTTCATAGTTTCTCTAACTGGAAAGAAGAAGAGTAGTTATACGATTTTTTAAGACAAATGTGGCAAATGTATTTTAAGAACTTTCATATTTTGTTATTGCTTTCTCTTTTCAGAGTTAGACGCAACGCAAAGTAGTCCAGACAACGAAAGTGCCAGAAAAAATATGTATGATAATTCTAAACCAGACCTAGTTAAAGAAAATAGCTTCATTTATGACACGCCGAGAAAAACCTATGATAATGTAAATTCAGAAAGTGACATCACAAAAGAAAATGACGTCATATATGACACACCGAGAAAAGTGCTACCTGGAATGCTGAACACTCAAGATGCTGTCCAATCAGAACTGGATGATATCGCTGAAACTAATTATGCTATAGCGGACACACAGGATATCAGAAATGGTCTCTCTGAACATGACGTTACAGTGTTATTAGAGGAAATAGCTGATCTCTCATGATCTACTCACAGGTATCATTGAAATCGTTATATTTACCCTTCTTTTTTTTGATTTATAAGTGTACATTAAGCACATTAAAAAAATAAACTGCTTTCTCATGGAGAAACAGTTTTGTTTTCAACATTTTATCGACACATTTTTGACCCTTTTTATCGACAATAAGTCAATGGGATTGGACACGTGTACCAAAATCTGAGGTCGTCCTATCCCCCAAACAGTTTGAATATTAATATGATTGCAATATTGCCGGACATGCTTATGGAGATGCCTGGATTTCAACAGAGATTTCATTTTTATCCGTAAAAGATATATTTTATTTCATTGTATTTTATTCATATTATTATGCATTTTTACTGACATAAACTCAAGATGTTGTTGTCAATGCCAATGTTTAAAATAATTTATTTATATTATATATATTTGAATATTTTATATTTCTAGCAAAGTTTAATTCTAGGAGTATAAACTATTTTAATAAATATATTTTGTTGAAATTTAGAGAGGGATATGTATAAAGATATAAAATGTGAGAAACTTTTGTTGCCTGTACCATTAAATTTGGCTCTTTTTATATGTCCACTTCAAAAATAACCGTGGATGTTGAATGTTCATATTCTTACCAGAGGTAGTATTTCTACTATATATCATTAATTTGCTCGCAATCATATCACTAATGAATTACATTGTAATATCTTATCATTAATTTACTTAGGACATTCCCAGTTTACATGTACATTTTTATTTGGTAGTCTAATTCTAAACGCTGTCGATGATCATGTGTTTTGTTCCCCTTAGATGAAGTTTTATATGTATACATATATATCCTCATTTGTCTCATCACATCATGCATAATACTGTTGTTTTGTTGATGTATTTTAATTATTGTTCTTGACACATGCTCAATTACAAATTTGTGCATGAAAACATCACTTACATTCACATTAAGGTCATGTTTACATTAATTAATAAATTAATTTTAAGACTTTCATGTTAACAAAATTATTTTCGCAATAAATCTAATTTTTGATTAATTTTTACTTTATATTTTTTCATTTCATCAATAACATTACCAGTAGGAGAAGTGGAGGAATGAAAGAATCCTTATATGCTTATTTTTAAGGGATCGTTTAAAAGTTAATGTTTATATTGCTCTTACCACATTTTATTTATGGCACATAAAAGACTAAGTTTGATACACACAAAACGGTTTGTCAAGCGCTTTACCTCGAGAGTTACTTAAATCATATAAAATACGACACCTATATTACGCGGTAAAAATATGCATCGCCTACAAGTATATGAAAAATGTGCAGAGAACGAAAAGGGATCGATATCAAAAAAATCTACAAAGGACGGGGCATAATTTAACAGGACACAACCCTGCGGAATTTTGGGGGTGGGGTCAGGTGCCTATGAGGAGTAAACATCTTCTGTTGACAGGTTAGCCTTGCGTATTGATCAAATAGACGGAATATTCCGTAGTCAAAATTAGTATAAAAACAATGGTCTAACAGTTGATATGAAACAAAACATGACCCAATGATAGATTATATTTGCTAACAAGGTCATCATAATGACCACAGTATTTATGCTGACTTTAAACTAGGTTGTTGAAATCCCTGTGCCATCAACTTATCTGTCAGTAGCATGCCTCGGTTTAAAGATTGATCGTCTATTATTTGACATAGGATGTGCTATATGGCATCTGTTATATGATATCTCAATGAAGCTGTTAAGGAATTTTTACGCACTATTAGTATATATTAATATATAGAGCTTGTTATTATAAGTTGTTCAATCGTATCTGGATCAGCTATATATTCCAAATAATTTATTACTGAAATAATGTGTGTAGAAATGGATAAGCGAGGAAATTTAACTAGGTAAATTAAGACGGTACTGTCTTACTATTTGTCTGGAACTGTAGTTGTTGTTTAAAGAAGGAACATTTGATATGCATGCCACGTTGGGTGTACGAGTTATAGAAAGAGACTATTTGAAGAAGCTTAAAACAATTGTTGTTGCCCAGCACCATTTTTAGGCAGTCGATCAAACCATAAGAAAAAAATCGTTCCTAATTTTTTGACCCAGTCTTCTCGTTTTCTACTGAAAGGAGTACTTCATTTTTTTCCCACAAAGGTAGAGTACTTCAGTGTTCCCCAATCCGGAGATGGAGCAACGTGAGTGATAGGCGACGTAATATTTTGCAGCAGAAGTTAGGTTTTGATTGATTGATTGTTTCTTGTTTAACGTCCCTCTCGAGAATATTTCACTCATATGGAGACGCCACCACTTGCCGGTGGAAGGCTACAAATTTTGACCTATACTCCGCACTTAGGGCCATTGAGCAGTGAGGGATCTTTTTCGTGCCAGCACCTACTGCGACACGGGACCTCGGTTTACACGGCCTCATCCGAAGGACCGGTCTCCACGTCCCGCAGTGGGATTCAAACCCGCGACCTAAGGATCAACTCCTTACTCCCCCACGCAGAAGTTAGGTAGACCAGTGATATAGTAACTGCCTCTCTCTAAGTGACAGTTAGGTTAGAGGCCCTGGAGGCTGAGGGTTCCACTAATTCTGAAATCATATTATGAAAACTCATCTGTCTTCTGCATTTGTTCCTTCGACTGTCTGACGACTATTTATAGCTGATAGCACAGATGTTCACGCAGGGGTCGTTACTCAGATAGCAAGTTGAGATATTTGTCTTATTTACCTGTTGCTAGGAATACCCAATTTGAAAGTGGAGGGTTTAAAGTTCTAACGAGGAAAATTGAATAGTGAAATGTAGACAGAGATGTTATATGAAGGATGTATTATCAATAAAATCAAAATAGTATCAATTATTTCGAAAGAAAAATGTCCTTTTATGACTGTGTTTTTCAAATAATGGCCTAAAATTAGTATGAAAAAGCGACAGTGAGCATTCGTCTAAATGATAGACTGTATTTGCTGACAGGGTCTCTGTATTCATTGTATCATTTGCGAAATGTTGACTTTAAACGAAATTGTAGATATGATTGTTTCATCAATCTGTTCATTGTAAGCTTGCTCCACTCTAGAAAACGTTCGCACGTACATTTGTAGAGCACGTCTATTTCCGTCGAACAGGAGGACACAAACTCAACATGCAGCTGTATTGCTACACAAAAAAGTAAATTTGATGATAGAAAAAATTTAGCCAACAGACCTATTATAAAGATATATTGTTAAGATACTCTGAGGTTTCTAGTAAAATATCCAAATATTAAACAGATGTGTCAGGCTCTGTGGTATCTTTCAACTCAAGTTCACACGTTTTTGAACAAATTCTTCCTCATATGAACACAAAATAGGTCTGTTATTAAGGGGGTACAGTTGGTACCCATCAGGAAATTCGACAGATTGTTGGAAGACTTGATCTCCGAAAACTACATGAGTACCATAGAATCACTTAAAGGTTACGAAAAATTCGGATGTTTGCAGTTTGTACGTAAAATGAAAATTTAACAAATAGGCGGGATGGACGATATTCAACATGTTAAGATAAGAAAAATATTCTTTTTTCACCCTAACAGTGTTTTGAAGAAAATCAGAAGAATATTTAACACATAAGGTATTTTTTATGTCAAATTCAAAGGTAATCCAAATGAAACTATTTTATAATACCTTTTTTTCATCATTGCTTTCTCGTTTCGGTAAATTTGCTGTTTTCGATAAAACACTTCAATTGTTGATTAAGAGACGTCTTTGATGGTTTAGTTTCTGTTTAAATAAGACACAAAGCGAGTGCTAGCGATACTGCACTTATTAGACGTTTCCCTAATTCACTTTGTACGCTCTGTCCTGTACTGAATGACACGATTCAAAATAAATAAATAATGAAACAGAGATTTACTACATCCAGGTGTTTTAAATTTTTGATTTATCCAAAAACACGTTTTCCTAAGATGTTATTAGGTACTTTTGTGTTTTTCTTTAAAATTTCATTTCTTATGTGCTGACGTTCCTTTCTAAGAAATCAATTTACACTTTTTTAATTTAAAATAGAAAACAGATTCTTTGCTTGCGATGATATACTCCGGCTAATAAGTCCTTAGTTTAAAAAGAAATATATTTTTTCCTCATTGATAAACCGCAACATGTTGATAATACTCTAAATAAGCATTTTTACTGTCTGCATTTTATTGGCATAAAAGGGGATATCCTTTTTGACGATAACGAAAAATTAATCCAGGGAACTGTATGTTAATGCAATATTTAAACAATAAAATGCTTATTTGGTTGTTAGTACGGGAATTAATGTCGCAGCTGTTGTAGAAAAAATACATAACCCGTGTAAGCGGGTTATGTAATTTTTTCTGCAATAGCTGTGACGTTCATTCCCGTACTAGCACACAAAGAAAGACATATTATTTTTTATATTTATATCTGCATAAAAACTTTAAAATGAAATTCTTTCAATATAATATCATTGATGTGTATGTCTTTGTATGCACAATTGATGGAATAGCCTTGCTCAAGAAGTCTATTGAGGTTGCTTGCTTTGTGGCGTGTACGGATTGATAAAGGGCAATGGTTTTCATAAGAAATAAAGAAAATTATAGACAGTGGATGTAAATATTTGACAATAAAATATTAATTAGGGTGCTATCTTTATTTGCCGGTATACAATCAACACAAGAGATGATAGGAGGCAAAATAACAGAACTTAAAATATGTTTTTCCTTGCAATTTAATTTACTGAGGGAATTAAATATGGAAGAAAAACATTCCGAAAGGAAAACTCGATCGGTAGGTCAAAGTTGAAGGGGAGGGGGCTAAGGATAGAGTGGTTGCAGTTAACATAATATGTGCTTTGAAACATCCGATTTTTACGTTTTAATTAATTGTTCTGCTAAAAAGAGCTTCCGTATATATTGGTCTTGTGTATAAATAAGCCGTCGATTGTGAAAGTTGGCGCTTATCGCAAAAGCCCACTTATATATCGTACATAATTACTGCGGATGGTATCCAGGTCCCCGATTTGTATTTGTTCATTCAAATAATTAGCTTCTTACTGTAGAATGAAAAGTAACATCATTAACTTCCTTTTGGTTTATTATCATTGTTAATGCAGTATAAAGAGACAACTGTATTCTTGATTTTCAATCAAATATAGAGATAACGAACAGAAATTAAGTCCACTAAAACAATGCATATCAGGAGCAAAGCAATCGGTGTCCTCTAAAAAATCAGAGGTGGGATCAGTGCCATGGAGGAGTAAACATCCCCTGTCGACCGGTCACACACGCCGTGTGCTCCCTGTCATGAAAAAAAGTATTCCTTAGTATGTAAATGTTGAGATAACAAACAGTGATCGATTTCAAAAAAATCTATAAACAATACAATTATATGAAGAGAACATAAAACAAGGACCCCTGAGAATTCCAGATGTGGGATCAGGTGCTTCGGAGGAGTAAGCATCCCCTGTTGATCGATCACACCCGCCGTGAGTCCTATGTATTGATCATGTAGACAGAACATTCCGTTCAGCATAAAAACAAAGGCCTTATAATTGTTATGTCAGCCAAAAATCGATTAAATGATAGGTTATTTTTGCTTACAGGGTCATTATAACGACGATAGAATTTTGCAAAATGCCGACTTTAAAGGAGGTTGTTGAAGTCCCTGTAACATCAACTTATCAGTGAGTAGCCTGCCTCGCCGTACCTAGAGCAAGCTCTTTAGTAGCAAATAAGTTTGGAGACATAAACACCACAAGCAGGAGATAGTGGTATATTACTATACAAATAAGGAAAGCTGACGATAAAATAGCTGAATCCATCTCGTTTGTCATACAATTTAGTTGTTAGTTGGCACTTAAGCTTATCGTCTATAGTCATTAAAACATCCAAATATGAAACAGAATGTGGTGTGGCAAACTCTAGATCTAGGAGTCTTTTATTTCACGTTTATTGGGATTTAATCAAGTCCACATCTAAATGAAAATAACTATTATTAATTGATAAAATATGGTCGAAATATCTATATGTTGAATTGATTGCTATAGCAAGTGTTTTCCTATTCTCTTGTGCACGTTTTTGAATAAATTCTACTTAATAGGAATTGAAAACACAGTAAGTACCCATCGAAATCCCAAAAATTTGTGGAAAACTTGGTCGCCGAAGACTACATAAATGTTGTCAATGAGGAACTCCAGCATCCTTTTAATATGAATTTCTGAGTACTTGTGTGTACAATCAAAGAAGTTTTAATGAGCTAATTTTGCTGCATGACCAATCACAGGGTGTGAAAATTTCCGTTTTTATTGAAGAGGTAATTGTCTATCAAAGATAGAGGAATGGTTGTATTAAGTGTAGAAAAGTCCTCAGTTTTAAAGTTATAACTTTTTAAAAATATTTCGTGATTTTAACGTTTCTAAAAGTTCTTTCAAGTTTTTGAGGATCCACATCTGATTTACACCACTTTTAGAATATGCTGAAGCACGATAGGTCTGAAGATTCACCTTTACCACAGTTCGTATTTTTATAAGCAGTAAAGATAAGAGCTTGATAGAGCAATAGTATTATGTTTCTTCTTTAACCACAAAAATGTCATCCCACGTATTGACCTTTTTTTTTTTTCTCCAAACCGAAAACATTACGATCCAACTCAAAAGTGATTGAATAGTATAGGTTTTTGTTCAGTTCTGAGAATTATAGATAACATCATTAACATCAGATTAAATATTTACTGTGTGATGTACACTAACAGAGTACGAGGGTTGTTAGAAAAGTTCGCGGACAAGTTCTATTGTGACCGCCCTATTTGCATGAAATCAGTAAAACACTGCAGATACAATCTATACATATTTTCCAATTAATATGCAAAGATTTGGTGTTTTCCGATGATCTTTAAAAAAATATATACAACGATTTTTAACTTGAATAACCTCACGTTTTTATGGTCAAATTGACCTTAAATTGTGTCTGATATTTAAATGCGGAGTCGGTAGATAAGTCGGCTATTGTTTTAAGTTTCTAATATCTTGGAACGTGATTGATTTAAATTGTGTTATTTACAGGAAAGTCCTATCTTTATGTAAACTAATAAAACAAATAGAAAGATCTTTTTAATTTTATTTAGTTCGAATGTATAAAAAATACGCCATATATGACTTTCAATTAGAGGAGATATGACTGTTTTATAGCTAATTATAGAAGAATAATGCGTAAAAACAAAGCCAAGGATTGTAACGTCATTGAACGTCATGGAGCACCGAGTTATTAAAAGAACTTATGTGTGCAGACAGGAAAATGTCCGAAAAAGACTAAAATGTTTTTTTTTATGGTGCTGGGCATTGCCTTCACGTATCTACTATCAAAACGTTCAAGTGGTAGCTTGGTAACAAATAGAGACATCTGGCTAGATTTTTTTTTATTCAGGCAAAACAATTGTAATAAAGGAGAAAACGCCCTGATATTTAAATAATATATATTATTTCAATGCTCTTTTTACCCCCCCCCTTTTCTTATGACAAAGATCACTTCTTTGCAACGGTTATGAAAAGCAAACTCATTTTACTCAATTTATAATCCTTATGTGAATAAGTATGCATTCATTTTGAATTTGAGACGAAAAAAAACAACAAAAGTTCAACGCGCAAGATCATTACATACAGTTAAACTTTTGCCATATTTTTAGAAATCCGTGTTCACCGCGAACACACCAGTCACACAGTGTCGCCAATATTTTCCGTACTGGAGACGGATTTTTATGAAACTTGTTTTATTACATTAAATGTTTATTACAGATCGGGAACATAGTGTTATACTGGCTAGCAAATATTTTAATCTGAATTGCAGGTGTCGTAACAGTATTTCAGTTGAGGTTCACGTCAAAACATGGTTGATGCAAAATAATTTCCCCTCCAGATTCGGGCATTTTGGCGCGAGACTGAAGCCGAATTTTTTTTATGAGATGAAAAACAATATGCAAATTTCCTGTATTGACCAGATTCGTTATAATTGAAGGCGTGCTGATTTTTTTTTATATACTGTATTTTAGTGGGGAGTGGTTAGGTCCTGATCTTGATTTTCAAGCACCTGCTCGACTTCGACCGAAACAAACTTTCGTACCTTGCTGGTTGGCTATGTATTTTTTGGTACTAAAATCTTTATAAAGAATTTTTTTACAAGATCTGAAAAGGAAACCTCTCAAAACATTGTTTTAAATTCAGTCTACACACTCAAAGTTACGCAATTTTTGGTAAGAATATACATGTATAGCAAAATTTAATACTGTTGCGCAAATGGACCTGATTTTTTTTACATACTAATAATAATAAACAAAAGAGTAGAAAATTTATTAGACATAAGTCTTCTTCAAAGTACACAATATGTTTTCTGTAAATTAGTTTCTCTGGGAACTTTTCTAACAACCCCCGTAGTTAAAATGATATTTAAAGAAATTGTAATGCCTGGAAAAAGTGAAAAAAACCCAAATTTTTGGCTTTGCAATATTTATGGCATTTCCATAAAAATTTACTAGTGCTTCATACACTCTCTAATGTTTTACTCTAACGTTTTACAAAGAATTTTATAGATGCATCAAATATCATCTATTAACTTTTAAACACCTTAGTTTATCCTTTGCCTTTGCATTCTTTGTAATAATACATCGTTATGATAGTAATCTTCTACAGACACACACGCCAAGAAGTCTTTTTCCTCATGGTAACAGATTTTTAAATTATTTTTTCCAGATCATGATGTTCTATGCATATTTAAGAAATTTTGGCACATGTTGGCGGCTACTGATAGAAAGGGGAAATAGGTCAACATATGTTTAATGTTCTTACAAAGGTAATTTAACTGTCTTAAGAGACTGGTATATTCCTGAGTTTTGCAATAGGATTGCTAGAAAAAATATTTTCCCAACATACATTTCGGAGAATCTCCTCTTTCGTTTTTGTACTAAATTAGACTACGGAATGTTCCGTCTCCCTGATCAGTACATAAGGCTCACGGCGGGTGTGATCGGTCAACAGGGGATGCTTACTTCTCCTAGGCACCTGATCACACGTTTGGATTTTCGGGGGTCGATATTTATGTCCTGATCATAGAATTATATTATAAGTAGTTTTTATGAGATCTATAGCTGTTCATTATCCTCACCATTATCATTTTTTACTTAATAAAGTATCCCAAACACCACTCCCCTCAAAAACACTCAAACCATAAAAAAAAGCTTTATTTTAATATTAATGTCAACTTGACTTTGATAACACCCACACTATCAATCGTCCTAAAATACGAAGGACGAAAGGCGTCGTTATGAATGAAAACAGAATATTTGAAGAATGCAATGTATAATTGTACCCAAAGAACCTAGGTGAAAAAAGAAACATATTTACATCAACACGACAAAGCACCTGAGCCTTTATAAAAATCTGCTACTTGCTGCGTCAAGAATAAAGAGATGACAGCTCAGCGGAGCCTTCTTTGTTGCTGCTTTCTATTTAAATACGAACACTTCGCAGTGGATGGTCTGCTCGCAACGTACAGGAAACAAGATGACTAGCTACGCATGCGTTTTCCTTTTCCCGCTCTTTCTCAGCCTCGTTTTGACAGAAGTCAGACCAACTGAGACAGACATTCTTGTGTTACCCGCCAAAGTTTTCCGTGAGACGTTCGGAACTCTGCAGAGTGACAAAGAGAAGACAGAAAGAACTAAATGGTGAGTATTGCTTGCTTTTAACAATCTCATTTAAAGTCAGTATTTCGTCAATTCTATGGTCGTTATAGTGATCTTGTTAGCAAATATAACCTATCATTGGGTTTTATTTTGACAGACTTGTTTCATGCTTATTTTAGGCCTTTGTTTTTATACTGAATATGACTACGAAATGTTCCGTCTACCTGATCAATACATACAGTCTCAAAGCAGGTACGACCGATCACAGGGGATGCTTACTCCTCCGAGGCACCTGATCCCACCTCTGGAATTTCCAGGGGTCCGTGTTTTATGCTCTCTCTATATATTTGTATTGTTATTGATTTTTTGAGACTTATTACTGTGCGTTATCTAACCTTTTATATCATATTAATTAATTCATGCTTACATTTATTTTTCTTTGCGTAGTTTTAAAACTTAGTAGATAAAACGTGTCAACTTTGAAATATTATTGACATAATAATTCGTGCATAAGTACTTCTATTCTAAAAGTTAGCAATAAAAGATATAGCTTTTTGATCACCTCATACTTTAGAGATCTAGCTTTCACAACCACAATAAAAAAGGAATCAAATTCACTTTACATGTAAGAAATGGTTTCTATTAAACGCTCGCTATTTCATCTAAAACAATTTCTAATTCATGTGATCTTATTTTAGTAAGTTTCATAAATCTTTGTCTTTGTGTAATTTTCTGAAAACTAAAAATGAATATTTTATTTTCCTAAGCAGATTGTACAAATTCATTTTTTATTTCTATTTCCCCTATAAAATAAACTTTTCTAAAGCAGAAAAATGAAAGTTACTGTTCTTATCATGAATTCTTCCAAATATACAAATTCTTGAACACCATTAAACACATTTATCAACAATTTTATATAACATGAATGACAAACACGAGGATATACATGTACAAAGCAAACAAATACGTCAGTCAGGTAACAGGTATACAAATTGTTACATTAAATGACTGATCTGATCTGAAGAATTCAACAGCACGAAATCATCTGAAATACTATCTGCAAAGACTATGAGTTTTACACAGTACCTTAAACTTAGTAATAAATATAAAGCTTATACACACAAAAAACTCTTGTTATTTATATATCATACCGAGATAAACATATGGACCTTATTGATAAGTATAAAGGCCTCATGATATGCATTAAATACATACGGGACGCCCACTGTAAGTGGATGACACAGGGATTAAGTGCTCGGAAACACTGGGTAATGTTGAAATTTTACTTAAAGTAACACATATACAATTAGATTAACGTTATCAGTAGTAAAACTCTATTTAAGATCTATCGTATTCCGCGTGGGGGTGTTCGTAGCGTTGGTTGCAGTGATGTGATGTTTGGGGAGATACTGATTTTCAATCAAAAAACGCTCTTTCTTAAATTAATTCCCTCCCTTTTGTCACCCACAGGAAGCGGGAAAACCATGAGAAGGGCACAAAAATGCGATGTATTTGTCCTTATAACAAACAAAGCGAATGCGCATGCGTAAAGGTAGAGACAGAGCTGAGTCGATATCCAGCAAAAAGGGATAGACCTCAAAGAATGATACCTCTTGTTGATGAAAGAAGCCAAGGAACGTGGTCTGTTTCCAATCAAATGTCACGTGAAAGACAGGAAGTGCCAGAGATAATTCGAAGTCAGTTTCCGGGTAGCATCATCACAATATTTTACAAACTCGCGCAGAACAACACAGCGCAAAGATCCGCCGCCATTGATGAGGCCAGACGAATTCAGCGTTTTAAAACAGAAGGTTAATGTAAATGTGACAGACGTTACAACCCGGAACATTAATGGAAGAAAAAAGAGATTTAAAATGAAACATGTCACCAACAGCATAAAAAGAGGAAAAATATACTTGTAAAGAAGTCATTCTCTTTTTTCATTTGGTGCTAGGAAATAGCTAACTTTATAACACTTTTTACACTATTGAAAGGAGATGGGTGAACATGACGAGCGATAAGCCTATAGTGTGACAAACATGAAGATGAAAAATTAAATTTCTATTATATCAAAATTTTCCTTGATATTTCGTCTAACATTAAAATATACTTTATGTAAAATCTCTACAATTTGCAAAAATCCCTCAAAGTTTGAAATTATTTGCCTGTGAAATATTAGACACACACTAAAGCGGGCAAAAAGAGTCATTTTCGCATACTATAACACTATTTTTCGATATGAGTGGGTTTTCGCTCCACCTTTTTGAAAGTTAATCCTCAAAGTTTGCATAAAAATATACATTTTTTGCTTACCAAAAATATGGAGCAATGACCCACTATACCTTAAAAATATACTTTTATGACATAACATTCGCATCTTTTCGAGAAATACTTGAAGTCCATTAAGTCAAGGGTCATATCACAAACATGATTTAAATGCCACTGTTCGTCAGGACTTGTGTAATCTAGTGGTTAGCGTGCTAGTCTCGAAAGAAAATGATTCTCAGGATTTTTATTGCTAGGGTTCGAACCCCACGAATACCACATTAATTTTTTTAATAAAAGAATAAATTTTGCCGAGAAAATTTTCCTCAGAAAAGTTTTATCACAATTACATAAATTTCAATAATGAGAACTTTACTCTAAATATTAAATTCACAAATTGAACAAGATTTTTATATTTCTGAAGCTATAGGCTTTCTGCACGCTATGTTCGCCCATCTCCTTATATAAAATAATAATAATAATACAAAGAATTGAGAATTACACTGCACGTCATTTACTTACTCAGTGTCAATTAACATGTACGGTAGTAATTATTTATCTCCCAGAAAAAATGAATTATACTCACAAAATAAATTAATCACAAATCGAGTTATACATCGTAGATTTCATTTTTTTTAATAAATGATTTAAGGACAAACCACTGGATAGAAAGTCTATAAATCTTATTGATTTACCGTATAAAGTGGGTTCATTTCTGGATATTACAAATGTCTAATAATTTGGTTTCATTTAAAATACATCTTCAGAATATCCTTTTTTACTCTGTATATCTTATAATGTTTTCTAATTGCTATTGAATTTGGTCAAGAGAGTTCAATAAACTATGTTCATACCATGTGTAGCAAAAGATGTTCATCCGGACTGTTTTTACATGTTAATTCTAAAAATTCTATGGAAGGCTGACATGAAGACATGATACTTCAAAGCTTCAAAGAAAAAAGTGTATCAATTCATAAAAAAATAGAATTAAATGTAAATATCTAATAATTTGAGAGTATCGTCTTTGAATATATGTATTTTCAGGTTAAATATGTGTAAGCCCCTCAAGTAAACCGGGCAGCAAGCGTTTCATTCAAGCAGGTTTTCTGTTTATTTGCATCTTCTGTGATTTCACAAGAATTTGTAGTTGCTTTATAAATCTAATACCAGGTAGTTGTAAGGTGTAATAAATGTATCTCTCTCTCTCTCTCTCTCTCTCTCTCTCTCGTTAAATAAAATATATAACATTGTATTTTTTTAGTTAAAGATACAGCTTAACTTTTTTTCTAAAATAAAGTTGTCAATTTCTCCTGCTTTTAAATATTTCGAGACATGGGATGTAGAGGTAATTTATTAACTAAACATCCCTTATTGTTAATCTTCAGTAAAGATCGATGTGAATGCCTATATACCGTAGCATTGAAAAATGAAACTGTACAAAATTGCATAAAAATAGAAAGTTTACTGAATTAATATTAATTATATAACTCTGAGATTATTGATCAAAGACGCCTTCTGAATTCTGAACTTGCAATTTTGTTTGTTCTGCGCACAATTTTCTGAAATATTATATACTGTAAATTTTTCAAATGTTCAGAGACATGTAATTGTATAGTTAATTTGTAAACGTAAGCAAAAGAAAACTGAAGTACCAATGATTTATCATGTAAATTTAAGACTTTTTATCAAAAATGTCCTTAATATATTAAACTTACCGTCCTGTTTGTTCTATGTACAAACTTTCTACTTGACAAGCTACATTTGTTTCTGCTATACATTTGAATAAATACATTGCAAATAAAAAAGATGTTTTTCATTACATTAAATGAAACATTAAATACTCCATTGTATGGAAGGATATTTTGTAATCAATGAACGAAACATAGTCATGCAACGCGTTTCTGAGGCACGTCTCCATTTTATTACGTCATGCCCTGAGATATACTCCTCTCAGACAGACAAACAGACTGACAGACAACGGCCCACCATTGATATCTTTTATCATTGGATTAAATTCTAACATTCTTTCTGTTTTGTTTTCTATGTTTGACGTGTTTTGAATAAGATGAACGTTAAAAATATTAGAATTAATAATACAATAAATTACAATAATACACAATGATAAATAGTACATTCTACAATAATCTAACACAATATACATAAACAATACATGCAATATTAAATTAACTAGAGCCGAGCTCGTTGCAGTGCAACGAATAGGTCTTCCGTCGGAGCTCCGGACAGGACAGAGCGACCTTGAGTCAAGGTCATGCAATATCTTAAGGTTATAAACAATCCTGTAAGGGGTATCAACTTGCAATGTTTCAACAGTAGAAAGACAGTAAAGGAATGTAAAATTCCCCTGTCAGTGAACTTGAACTTGTCCAAGATTATAGATTTTTTTGTTTGTTTGGTTTTTTTTGTATGTTGTTTAACGTCCCTCTCGAGATTTTTTTCAATCATGGAGAGATGCCATGGAGATCTGCAAATTTTGAACTATACTCAGCACTCATTGCCATTGAGCAGTGAGGGATCTTTTTCGTGCCAGCACCTTCTGCCAGACGGGACCTCGGTTTATACGGTCTCATCCGAAGGACCCGTCTCTGCGTCCCACAGTGGGATTCGAACCTGCGACGTAAGGATCAACTCCTTACTCCACGACTCTAGAGCAGACACTTTTACCACTGCGCCACGTGGGCGACTAGACCTTTTTGAATTTTACACTTATTATATCAGTGACCTTGAACTTTACTAAATGACCTATGTTAAGGTCAAAAACAACCTTTGAACAAATTATGAGCTTCCAGTGATACTCAAAGACAAAAGGTATACCTGGAAAAGAATATTGCACTTTTCTGTCAGTGACCTTGAACTTGCCAGAAAGACATAGGATCAAGGTCAAAACATATCCTTGGATCATAAGCAATCTCTGTATCAAGTAAAAGCTTCCAGTGATTTTATATTACAAAGTTATAGCATGGAAAAAAAATTAATATTTATCTGCCAGTGACCTTGAACTTGCGGGAAAAACCTTTGTTATAGGTCAGGAAAAACCCATCTTAAGCAATCTGAGAAAAAGTTTCCTGTGTTCCTCCCACCCCTTATAAATTTATAATCCAGGCACAAATTTTGCAACTTTTTCTGCCAGTCTAGTACAATGTTATCTCAAACCGGTGGATCATAAGCAATCTTTGTTCCAATTATGAGCTTCCAAAATTATAGCACATACAATAATCTTACACTTTTCTGTCAGTGACCTTTAACTTACAGGAATGACCTTGGATGAAGGTCGTGGCAAACCCTTTTGTCATAAGCAGTTCCTGTATCAAGTATGAGCTTGCAGTGACTCTCTATTACAAATAAATGGGTCGGACAAAACTATGCTATTTTTTCCAGTGACCTTGAACTTGCCGGAATGATGTTGGATCAAATCCATGACATACCCTTGGATCATTAGTAATCTTTTTACCAAGTATGACCTTCCAGTTTCTTCATAAAGTTATATCCTTGGCAAATTATCACGTACAGACAGCTCGGCAGAGGGACAGTGTGATTCCAAAAAACACCCCCACCCCAAGCCCACACTTCGTTTGGGGGGATATATAAATTCCTATGTTAAATTATGAATACTCTTTCCGGCCCAAACCTTCTCCCTGGAATCAAGATTTGAAAAAAAAAATGAATGTATACTATGTTGGAAATTTTCTCATTGTAGTCTAGGGGTTCTTGGGAATACTATTTCAAATCACCCCATGTGCAGATCTAGAGGGGGTTGGGGAGCAGTTAAATGTATATACTTAACCAAGTAAAAGTGACCATGACCCCGCCCCCCCCCTAGAAAATGCGGACCCTTCCTCTTTAACGCGGATCTGTGTTAAAATGGTATGAAAAGTCTTAGGTATGAAGCTTTAAAAGTCAAGGACCCCCCCCCCCCAACACACACACAAAATAGGTTTTTCACGTTTGTGAAAAGTTTCTCTTTTTTTTTTTGGCTCGTCATGAATTTTCTGGGTTGAAATATTTTTTTATTGGGATCCCCTTCTGTTAAAAGAGGATGTGACCCGTCATTTGAACAAAACTTTACCAAAAATATTCTGTAATTTTCGTTGTTATGGCCCAGTGGTTCTTGATAAGATAAAAATGAGAAAAATTTACAAGTACATGTACATAGCTTTAGAACGACAACGACGATAACGCTTATATACACCAAGAAAACAAACAAAGATGAAGAATCATGAACAGGAAAGCTTACTTGGGTCTTTGACTTGGGAGATGAGATACTTATTAAAAATTGAAATTATTTTGTCATTTCTTTTACGATCGACGGGCCTGCGTTTCAAATAGAGAGAGAGAGAGAGAGAGAACATTTCTAGCTAGGTCTTTGAATAACATTCAGTGACATCGGTTCAGAAAACCAGGTCCTTAGGAATGTACATGTATATAAAATAGGCAGTGCCTTTCTCGGAATTCATCACCTGCTTCTGTAAAGCTCTATCCTCACTTGTACTTACATGTACCTGGTAAAACCAACCGACTGCGAAGGAAA